GAATCTGATAGATTTGTACTTACTAAGAGAGGCATGTATGTTGCGAATGGTTATTTACTTGATAGTCTATTTAAGGCCAATACTGTTGTAATGGACAAAAAATCCACGTATTTGTTTCCACAAGTTATTAATAAAACTAATAATTCTGTTTACTTGCTTTACTCTTCGAATTTATGTCATAGCAAATAAGGACATTTAAATTGTGCTTCCTTACGAAGACTTGTGGGTTTAGGTCTTATATCTAAACTTGAATCCGAAGACAAATATAAATATGAAATTTGTGTTGAAACAAAATTTGCTAAAAAAACATTTTAACTCAATTGAAAGGAGTAGTGAACCGTTATGTTTAATATATAACGACGTTTATGTCTAAAATTTATTCAGACTCGAGGTGGTAAAAAATATTTTATCACGTTTATTGATGATTGCAGTAGGTATTGTCATATTTATTTATTAAGTAGCAAGATGAGGCATTGAATGCATTTGTTACTTACAAAACGAAGTTGAAAATCAACTTGGAAAAATAATTAAGGTATTAAGATCTGATAGAGGTGGTGAATATGATTCATCCATGTTTAATGAATTATGTGCTAAGTTTGATATTATTCACCAAACAACAGCCCTTATACTCCGCAGCAAAATGGGATTGTTGATAGGAAAAATAGAACTTTAAAAGACATGGTTAATGCTATGCTTATAAGTTCTGTATTACCACAAAACTTGTGGGGGGAAGCAGTGTTAACTGTTAACTTTATTCTGAAATAGAGTTCCCCATAAGAAAATTGGTTCGATACCTTATCACATATGGAAATGTAGAATGCCTTCCTACAAATACTTAAGAGTGTGGGGGTGCCGGCTATTCCACCTCCAAAAAGGATTGAGTTAGGTCTTAAAACTATTGATTGCATTTTTATTGGATATGAATTCATAAATAGCAATGCGTACAGATTCTTGTGCATAAATCTGATATAAGTGACATTCATGTCAATACAATTATTGAATCTAGAGATACTGAATTCTTTGAAGATGTGTTTCTTAATAAAAGAGATTCACTTGAGAATACTCAAAAGAGAACACGAGAAAAAGATTTTGAAAATAATATAGAACTTGAACCAAGAAGGAGTAAAAGAGCAAATGTTCCTAAATCCTTTGATCTAGATTTTATATCTTTAATGATTGAGAAAGAGTCTCAAACATTTAAAAAAGTTATGACTAGTCCAAAATCTGTGTTCTGGAATGAAGCTATAAATAGCGAAATTGAATTCATTATGAGTAATAATACTTGACAATTAGTTGATCTTCCTAAGGAAACTAAACCAATAGGGTGCAAATGGATCTTTAAAATGAAGTTGAGATCTGATGGTTCAATAGACAAATACAAGACTCGACTGGTTGCAAAAGGATATCATCAAAAAGAAAAAATTGATTTCTTTAACACATATTATTCAGTAACTAGAATTACTTCTATTCCGATTTTAATTGTTATAGCATCCTTATATAATTTACAAATATATCAAATGGATGTTAAGACTACATTCTTGAATGGAGAATTAAACGAAGAAATATATATGGAATAACCAGAAGGTTTCATAGTAAAAGGACAAGAGAACAAAGTATGCAAACTTGTTAAGTCCTTATACGGTTTGAAGCAAGCTCCTAAACAATGGTACAAAAGTTTGACAGTACCATGATTAGGAATGAATTCATCTTAAATGCATGTAACAGATGCGTATATTCGAAAAAATTCGAAAATGCATATGTACTTGTCTATTTATACGTTGATGACATCCTTATATTAGAGATTAATGTACGTTATCAATAGAACAAATAATATGCTTACCAAGAACTTTGACATAAAAGATATAGGTAAAGCATACGTGATTCTAGGAATAAAGATATCTAAAAAATCAGATGGAATATTCTTGTCTCAAACCCATTATATTGATAAGATAATTGAGAGGTTTAAGACTCATAATATTAAAGAAACGAGTAACCCATTTCTTTCTCATGTAGTTCTTCACAAGAATAGTAGAAATGGGAAACAACAGTTAGAGTATTCCCAAATTATTGGTAGTGTAATGTACTTAATGAATTGTACAAGACCTGATATAGCTTACTCGGTAAGTAAGCTCAGTCGTTACACAAGTAACCCAAGTAATCAACATTGAGATACATTACTTAGAGTTTTGGGATACTTGAAACGGACCAGAGAGTATTCATTATGTTATAGAAAATATCCTCCAGTAATTGAAGGATATAGTGATGCCAATTGGATAATCCCGTTTGCACGTTGTTGGGGGGCGAAATCTGTCTTAAAGAGATTTGTTTTGGCATACCTCGCTTCATCTTCTACTTTTATTTTTATTTGTTCTTTCGATTGCGGTAGTCGAATTTCCGACAACATAACACCGTTCCAAACCAATACAAATACTTTTAATCCTTGTTTCACAATCATACTTTTCAAACTCTTTTTTTTCTACGTACTTTTCAACTACACATTCACATAATAAAATATTCTATAAGTAAATCTAAAACTTTTTCCACTTTTTAACCACACATTTTCTTAAAAATCACTATTCAAAACTTTTTTTTTTTATTTATTAAAAAGCATGATTGCCAAACATGGACTAATTTTAACCTCCAGGCAAGAGCATTGACTGCATTCCCCAATTATCCTTTGAGCACTTTTACATGTACAGAAAAAAAATTTCTGTAAAACATACAGATTACACACATCAAGGTGGGGCCATTTTTTTATAATATTTAAATCACAGCCCCATGTGATGAGTCGGTAATTTTTACAAAAGGATTTCTTCTGTACAAGGAGAAAATTTCTTATCCTTTAAGCTTTACCGATAAGACTTTATACTCGAGTCAATTTTAAACAATGTCTATCAATAAAGCCCATGTTTCATGGTTATTATTTTGAGAAGATGATGTTTTAAATAGTGATTTTTTAAAAGAATGTATGATTAAAAAATAGGTAAAAATTTTAAATTTTCGTATAAAATATTTTATTATATAAATACATGGTTGAAAATTAGTATGACAATTAAAGAGTTTTGAAATAATGATTGTTTTGAAAATTATGCAAATGAATAAGATAATGTGTAAAAGATACTTTAACATGTAAAATCATTAAAATTAGTTAATATAATAATATACTCTTTAATGGACTATTGACCCGTGCACATTATTATTACTGGAAAAATTTTAAAGTTCAAAGGAAAAGGGCAAAACTCTAATCGTCGCCTGAGAGATTCGAACTCTCGCGGGGAAACCCCATGTACTTAGCAGGCACACGCCTTAACCACTCGGCCAAAGCGACGGTTGATGGTATGTTAGCCAGTTATCTGACAAATCATTAAAATGAGCTGAAATCCAAAATCCGAGAGAGGTTTTGAAAAGGGAAAATAGTGTAAAGCCGGTGTCGAATTGGTGGATGTAGCAGCAGGAAGGAGGATGTTGCGGCGGCATATGCAAGATCTGGTGGGTCATCTGGGTTTTGTTCAATTTCAGCGAAAAATATAGGTAAATTTTTTAGTAAGATTTTTCATTCTTGTGTTATTTCTTAAATTGAGGGAGCCCATGTGATGGTATCTGTGCAATCTAAATGCAGCATACATACATTCATAAGTTATTGAATTTCATTGAATCATTAAGTATTTTTTTTGTGGAGATTCAAGAATAAAATCTCATTATATTTAGGGAGTCAAAGATCAAATACATTTTGGGCTTTTGTTTTTTCGAAGATTACTTGATTTCTTTGAGATTTTAAGCCTACTCCCAACACATAAGTGATGCTAGGAACTCCAATTTATTTTTTTTTGATAGGCCAAAATGCACAATTGTTATGACTGTCTGTATTTTGGAAGATTAAACAGATTGATGATTGGGTAGCCGAAGTATGGAAACTTATATTGAATACTTGGAAGTTAACATATTTTAAGAAATAATTTATAGTCACAACTGAGATCTAAACAGTGAGGGGGGGGGGGGGGGGGGGGGGGGGGGGGGGGGGGGGGGGGGGGGGGGGGGGGGGGGGGGGGGGGGGGGGGNAGGCACTCATCTTAGCCCCTATTTGGCATCCATTAAAATGAGGTTTTTTGGGGAAAATGAGTTTTTGGAATACTGATTTTTCGTAGTATGTGGGGTTAAAAAGTTAGTAAAAGTTTTGAATTCACGTGCAAAATATTTTATTGCGTGAATGTTTGGTTGAAAATGAATTTGAGAAAAAATGTTTTGATTTAATGAATGTCAAACAGGGGCTTAGGTGACCAATTTATCTTATGAAGGGGAAAAAATGTTTTTCAGTGATTAGCTAACCTGCCATAACTACTGATATGTTACTTAGCAGGCAGCAGCAAATGTTCATACTATGTATCAAACTTTAAAGCAATGAGTGAAGACAATGAGGTTTTCCTTATTTCCAAGACACAGTAACATTAGTCCCAACTCACACACATAAATATTCCAAAACTCGACATTCACAATTTATTAACTTCACAAAACCTTACGTACATGGTTTCTCTTCTACTCTTTTACATGTGGTTGGATTTTGTGTGCACCTGAAAAATTCTCTTGAGATTTGAGTTCAAGCTGATATGTTGACATTTTTCAATTACCCTTTAGAAGCTTAATTCATCGTTATCTTATACATGTGATTGATGAAGTACATGTAAATAAGACTGCAAGACATCATCACTTCATTTTTGTTGGTTGCAATATCATCATGTGTTTGGGTAAAATTATTAGTAAATTTTTAGGAGAAATAGTATTTGATTCCACAAAATGTGTGATTAATAAATGGGTAGTAGTTGTGAATGCGTAATTGAAATTGTTTTTTCACTTTTAGTAACTTTTAATTTTACACGAAAGAGCAGGTGCCCAAAATTAGTACTTCTAATAGTAAGACTTTTATTGATGAGCTCTTAATATTAGCGAAACCCACTAAATGTATGTTATAATTCTTAAGCATAAGCTCAAGACGGGTTCTAACTTCAAATTCCTCTTCTTCCAGATTCAGATTTGGTTAGAGACTTGAGTCTTACAAGGAATTTAGCTTTACTTTCCCAAGAATTAGATCTCTCCCGTCTTTTCTTCTCCGGTGGAGAATCAGTCGACCCCCTATCTAGGCTGTCCGGTGATTTTGCCATGTCATCATATTCCATGCTACCCTCAATGATGTCCATGTCAGTTCCTAAAATCTTTGCTTGCATGGCAGATATCACGGCTTTGATTGCCACATCAGCATTTCTACGGTTCCTTAATAGGATCTCACCAATCTGAGCTGGTGTAAGGCCCCCACCTGATCTTATGCAACTCTCCACCACATCAAACAGCACGTGTGAGTCCACCCCCAAGTAGTTCTTCACCAAGGTCTTGAAGGCATGCATGCCGCATGTGTCGAGGCTAACATGCACGTCCATGCGTCCACATCTAATCAGCGCTGGGTCGACAGTGTCCCTGTGGTTTGTAGTGAAAATAATCACTCTCTCTTCTCCACAGCATGACCATAGCCCATCAGTGAAATTAAGCAGGCCTGATAAAGTCACCCGCCCGTTATCCTCTCCATTGTCATGTCCATGCCGGCTATTTTTAGCCATTGATGGTAATCTCCTGTTCTTTGTTACTCTGTCCCCTGTTAAATCGATTGAACAATCTATATCTTCAATCACTATGATCGAACGGCTTGTAGTTTGTATGAGCAAGGCCCTTAGTTCAGAATTGTCCGAGACTTTACTAAGCTCAAGATCATAAACATCATAGCATAGAAAATTAGCCATGGCAGCAATGAGGCTGGATTTTCCTGACCCTGGAGGTCCATGCAACAAATATCCACGTTTCCATGCGCGTCCTATTTTGTGATAAAATTCTTTGCCTTCAGAAAATGCCGTTAGATCATCCGTAAGCTGTTTGTTCAACTCCGGCTCGAGTGCAAGTGTGTCGAATGTGGAAGGGTGGCGAAAGGGCACGGAGGACCATCCCGACTCGAAAGAACCGTGTCCATTGTTGGTGAAGAGCCTGCGCTCCCGTGAAACTCTCTCAAATTCTTCTGCACGTGTTGTGACGTGTTCCAAATAAGGATCAAGGAGAATCATGCGGTGGCGCTTGGGAAGTTTGAGAGTGAAACTACGTTTTTCGTCGAGGGAATCTTGGACAGTCTCAACCTGGTGAGTCCAAGAGAGGTGGTGGCCTTTGAAGGTGTCATTGACAGTGTGGTTGGGTGCGAGAGTGTATGAAATTTTGTTGGAAGATTTAGAACGGGAGAGAGTGAGGCGGCAGCAGGTGGTGGAGGAGTTGATGGAGTTGAGGTAGAGATTCACATGGCGGTAAAGATCATTTACATCAATTCCGCAGTAGCCATTGAATTCTGGGATTTCGAAGTAAGAATACTGGCTAAAGAACTCTTGAAGGGATTCATAGACAGAATGCAGAAAGGAGAGAAGCTGTGTAGGCAGTATGTTTTGAAGGACAGTGAGTAGGCCTAGAAAAGACCACATTTGTGACAATAATTCCATGTTGGACTGTTACAAATTGCCAATGTTTTGTTTCTCCAGGCTTGAGAAATTTTGATTTTGTCTGTGTCTGCTGGATTAATTTATAAAGAGAAGAAGACAAGGAAAGAGAGGATGTTGAATGTGTGCGAATTATCTGGGGACTTTTGGGTGTGTGGTTTGTGCTTAAAATTGGGGTAAAGAGAGCTAATTAAAGTGACTGTTTGAGGGTTGAAAGCAGTAGTAAAGATAAAGCAAAAGAATTAATGAACAGACCTCTTACTTTTCCTTTTCCTTTTTCTATATATTGGTGATTTTTGGAATCCATTTTGTTCTTGTATATATATGTAATGAGGTATGTTTATTTTGTAATTGATTACATTTATTTTTTCATTAAATATTCGATACGTGCATAATTTTCGAAACAAATGTCAGTAGACCTCTAATATTACGTTGAACGATCTTGTTACTATTATTTTTGTTTAAACAACAGCAGGTGGCATATTTTACTAGTAATGAATATAAAACAAAATATTAGGAGGGGATTTGACTTGTACTCCAGGTAAAAATGCAGAAAAATTAAATTCGCCTCATCTAGGGATAGGGGAGTACAGTGTAAAAATTAAAGAAATTACACTTTATTTGCGTAGTTATACTTATCGCCATCATACGACGAGTGTGGTGTTTTTGTGGCTTATGATAACTTTCGGACTCGCCACGTGAAAGGGATTTCATAAATTTATTATTCTTCTCGAAGTTCGGGTAACTCATGGATTCGTCGTACTCCAACATACTCTCTCGAGATTGGATATGAACGATGTCATCTGAATGTTTAACATGTCATAGCTTTCAGCTTTGAATGATTATACTCTTAATTCTTGAGTAGTGAAGCAAATTTGAACAAGTTTGAACTATATAAAAGTTAATAAAATTAACCTTGATTTGCTTCTCAATGATCACCAGTTCGAATCCCCTCAGGACCACTGAGATGAGCATCGGATCGTTAACTTCAGTGCTCCGTGGGATTAGTGGAGGTGCGTGCAAGATGGTCCGGACAACCACGATTATAAAAAAAAAAAGATTAATAAAATTAAGGTAAAGAGTTACGTGACAAAATTTATCGACTGGTCTTCAGATAAGTCTTATCGATTTCATTGTTTATGATGACATGCATGTTTAAATCTGTAACCGTAACAATTGTGCCCACATAAACAATCCTAAAGTATTTTCCATAGCTTCTATTCTGGACATGCCTAACATATAAATTAATGCCTAAAAGAAAAGTACACGTTCGAAAACATGAACGACTAAACGAGTATGCTTTTGCTTTTGATAATCGATGCTTTTTTTTTTTCCAGCTTTATCTTTAATATGTTCTTGCTAACATTCGGTCTTTTGATATAACAGAATGTTCGTCCAATAATTTACTCATTGGCTCATGATGATACGATCGAATAAACACCATTCTCATCATTCATTCTTAATCACATTTCCTAAGATCTTGTTCAAGATTTTGTTTCCAGAATTTTGAATTTGTTACGTTCAATTGGACGGATTAAGGAAGAAATACTTTCGACGAGATGTAAGTGTTTTTACTTTTTACTATTCAATATATCAAACATGTCATACTCGAAACCCTTGTTTGGTTTAGCTAAACATCAGATATTTTAGTAGATTTTGACAAAATACAATGAAATGCATAATTAAAAAATTAATAAAAGTTGTGAGCTCCAAGAAATCTGTGGTTTAAAATGAGTTTCGAGGGAAAGAAAAATAAGTTTTAGAAATTGTAGGCCAAATAAGCACGTCCCGTGTTCTTGTGACGAACATGCTTGGCTCCTTTTTTACTCGTATGAAACAAAATTCTATTATTGCATAAATTTGATTCAAGAAGGGAAATTGATAAGTAAAATGAATTGAGAGTTCATCTAATGTATCTAACCCACTTATATTCATCAGGTGTGAACTATCATTTCCTTGTGTCCTCTGGTCTTTTAACCATAGAGTAATATTGAGAATTTATGTTATGTGCTTTGATGTGACAATTATGTATCTATCTTTGTGTTGCGCTAAGATTTTAACGTTTTTGTCTTCATTCTAGAAATCTCAAGCAAAATAATTAACCCTTTTGAATCCTAGCATTGACAAAGATGCAATATTTTAAACTTCAAGATAAGATGATTATTTATACAAACTTCATATATCAACTTTCTTATACTTACTTATTTTTCATTTTAGCCCCTGTTTGGTTAGCATTAAAATCAAAATATTAATTTAAGTCAAAGTTAATAATTAATTTTTAATTATACTTTTTATGTGATCTACAACTTTCAACTATACATTTTATTAACTGTTATCAAACAATTATATTACATGTACATCTAGGGGCGGAATTGGCCTTTCAAACTAAGGGGGTCACGGAGTTGAAGGGGTGGGGGCTCACGGGGGTCCGAAATTTTTTTTTGAAACAATATCTGTTAAAATGAGGAAAGTTGGTACTTTGTGATGGAGAAATGAAACAAATGAACATAAATTAATGTACGAAAATTTCACAAAAAAATCAAGAAACATATAAAAGAAACTATTAATCTTTTAAAATACTTCTCTATCACTGAATCTGAGGATTGAGGAAACTCTTTCACTCAAAATTGATAAACAATACAACTTCACAAATAACTGAATGGGCAGGATTAGGAGATTAAAAAAAAAAATTGAGGCCAAAAAATAAATAAAAAATTTCAAAAAATTGGGGGGGCCTCCCCTCCGCCCCTATGTACATCTTGTTTTCATCATTTTTGATATTGTGCCACGTGACGCATATGATTGGACAATTTATAAAGAAAAAACACACTTTTTCGCCTAACACTTTTTGGATTTCTCCAAAATGTACAACAAAATGTAACCACGAAATGTACATTTAGCATAATTTTTTATCAAAATATACTAAAAAATTTGATTTTAATCTTCATCAAATAGATGCTTAAGAACTTAAGTTTTAGACGAGCTTATCCAATGCAATTAATAATTCCAAGTGTTTTCCTTCTCCCGCCAAATATTGAAAAGATTTTCCTTAAGTGAAATTAATATCTGGCACTGCAATCAAGATGTTGGTGATATTTGTTGGGGCTTGGGAAAAGATTTCTCTTTTGCTTTGAATTTTTTTTCCATCTTTACCCTATTGCTTTAACAAAAGTTCAATTTTTGGTATTTACATATTCTCCTTTCAATATTTCACTTTTATAAATGCATTTTTTTCCATTTTTATTTTTTTACTTTTGAGAAACGTAGTTGAAATTCAAAAAATGGCAAAGAAAATAACTTGGCTTTTTTGACATAAAACAACTACCAGCATGGGTCACTTTGATTAGTAGAGATCAGCACGTTGATAAAGCATAATTATTTTGGGAATGAGAACATAAAAATTTATTATATATAAAGCCAAAAAGAGAAATAAAGCCAAGACAAGAGTTCATATGAAATCTTAAAGGATAATTTAAGACAAAAAAGCACTAATCAAACGTCTCACTCGAGGCACTAAAGATATGTTTGATACATGAAATTAGTTTGTATTGGTCAGAGCAAAAACGCCACTATGAAGACCTAATTCTAATGATATGTTTAATTGCCAAAGTCCTAATTCTAATGATATGTATGATTCATGTAATTAGCTTGTATTGGTCGGAGAAAAGGCCACTATGAAGACCTAATTCTAATGATATGTTTAATTGCCAAAGTCCTAATTCTAATGATATGTTTGATATATGAAACTAGCTCGTATTGGTCTGAGCAAAGAGGTCATTATGAAGACCTAATTCTAATGATATATTTGATACATGGAATTAGCTTGTATTGGTCGGAGCAAAAACGCCACTATGAAGACCTAATTCTAATGATATGTTTAATAAATGAAATTAGCTTGTATTGGTCGGAGCTAAAACGCCACTATGAAGTCCTAATTCTAATGATATGTTTGATATACGAAATTAGCTCGTATTGGTCTGAGCAAAAACGTCATTATGAAGACCTAATTCTAATGATATGTATGATTCATGAAATTAGCTTGTATTGGTCGGAGAAAAAGGCCATTATGAAGACCTAATTCTAATGATATGAAATTAGCTTGTATTGGTCGGAGCAAAAATGCCACTATGAAGTCCTAATTCTAATGATATGTTTGATATATGAGATTAGCTCGTATTGGTATGAGCAAAAAACGTCATTATAAAGACCCAATTCTAATGATATATTTGATACATGAAATTAGCTTGTATTGGTTGGAGCAAAAACGCCACTATGAATATCTAATTTTAATGATATGTTTGATATATGAAATTAGCTTGTATTGGTCCTAGGGAAAATGTCACTATGAAGACTTAATTCTAATGATATGTTTGATACATGAAATTAGCTTGTATTGGTCGGAGCAAAACTGTCACTATGAAGACTTAATTCTAATGATATGTTTGATACATGAAATTAGCTTTGGTCGGAGCAAAACTGTCACTATGAATACCTAATTCTAATTATATGTTTAATACATGAAATTAGCTTGTATTGAACAGAGCAAAAAGGCCATTCTGATGCCCATGAGTTAGGTCATTAAAATGATGATGGTCAAATACCATAAAGATTTTAGCATGTCTTCTCTAAACATCAATTAATTTTCAAATAAAATAGTTAATGTTCGATCTGAAAAAGTTCAAATCTTTTTAATTGTGTGGATAAGAACAATTCGAGTAGTTATGCATTGTGCACTTGATACATACGCATGTAGCATACACAAATTATACTTCAAGTGTTGAGTATCGAATATAATTATCTAAATTATTAGTTGTCACGAAGGGCTAGAGTGGATATAGCCTTGTTGATGAAGGTAGTTGTGGATTCCAAATTAGTGTAAGAGGTGTGTTGAAGTGGAATAAATTCTTTTCGGGCATTAAGAGATCTTTATTTAGAGAAAAAGGAAAAGCATTACACAAAGCAATTAACAAAGTGCCAACAAAAAT